CACTATCAGTTGCCATCCCATACAAAACATAGGCCACAATATCAATAGCGAGTCCGATTCTAACAATCCAAACATCAAACATTAACTCTTTAGTCAAACATTTCTCATTTTGAACGATTACATCATCCTCAACCAACATGTTTCCATCGTTTTGATTACCAGCCTTATCATGCTTCTTTTTAAATACCTTAATAAAAATTGGAAATAAAAACAGTAAAGTAATAACTCTTGTAGCAGAAGTTACACTGATCAAATATCCTTGTTCGACTAATGACCATTCAAATTTATATCTAACATAAAGCAAAAATATGGACTGGATACCGGAAAATGCAAGCCAAATCATTAAACCTATGCCAGCAGCTGATAATAATGAATATTTTCTCGCGTTAATTGCGGGAAAAGTATCAATATTTCTAATATCTCTCAAACTTCCATCATTTCGTGGAGGGTTTGATAGGAAAATTGATAAAGGAGTAAATATATTTAAAATTTTCTGTAACATGTTAAGATTACCATTTTCTTGGTTATTAGCCAGCTGACGTCTTTGATTATCAAGTTGTCTTTCTTTCGAAAGTGATTCAGGAAGGATAAAAAGAACAAAGAGGAAGAACAAGATAGATATCGTAATTGAAACGTAGAATACCGAAAGGAGGTTATTTGTAAATTCTACTATCTCTCCCCCAACCATAGTACCTAAAGACAATCCTAAGTATAATGCGCCTTGCATAAATCCGAATATGACTCTTCTAAAGGGTGATAATTCAAAGCATTTAACAATAAAAGAAAGTATAGAAAACAAATATAACATATATTACCTTTGTTCTGGAACTGTACAATCTGCAGCATAAGAATATAGCACAGCAGCTAATGAAGAGAACCCACCCAAAAATCCATCTATAAGCACACCAATTATCAAGACGATTAATCCAAGTGATTCGGAAAAATGTCCAACTAAAATAATAGCCAAATTAAAAATTATCAGTCCCGCAATTGCGAGAAGAAAGACAAAACGACGACCTCTACGATCAGAGAGAGCACCTAATGGTACCAATACAAAGATTCCTAAAGTGATTGAAAGTTTTATACATTATTGAGTCATAGGTCTATCTATACCCAATAAAAAATTTTGAGAAAACTTAAATTACCTGGTACCGATAAACAAAGAGACAATACCATCATTAATTGTGAAGTAATAGCATGAATTTCTGGAATATTACACACATCATTATTGTTTATATCAACTAAATTTATAGAAGGATGATTTTCTTTCGAATCATAGTAATGTTGACAAACAGTTTGTAAATAAAATTCCACTTTCGTTGTAAGTGTTAATCCAAATATAAATGTAATCACAAAAAATGATGGTAGTAACCAATATGAAGATGCTGTTTTATACCAAGGACTTTTTATTATTGGACGATTTGAGGTTTCGATATTAGTTAAAAGTGGTGTAGATTCATTAGCTATTAGTCCAGTCTCTGGCACCGTTTCACTGAGGCCTGCTCTTTCTCCTTCTGAAAATGTCATAATTAAATTAAATAAATCGTTGAGAGTAATATCGATTCAAAATAATTCTGAATGAAAAGGAAAAATAAAATAATAAAGTACAATCTTGACATTATATAACGTTAGAGTTTGCTACACAATAAAAAAGTTCATCCTTTAAACTAAATATGATGACATTTGTAAGCAATGATACATATTTGGATTGTGGTCCATTACACGTAAAATTCACAAGACGCGCGTCAATCGACTTTAAATATATACGACTTGCTAAACCATAAAGCTAATACTAACATTCAGATATTCATTAAAAGGCAAAAAAGTCTTTTTATTGTTTGAAAAATATGTGATCTTTATGACAAGTTCAGTAATTTAAACCATTTGCCATCACTATTTAGGATGGTGTACTGTACATAAATACAGGTAATCGCTTTTAGCCGAAATTTTTTTAGATAACAGATAAAGATAAATACGTGTACGTACTATCGCTATTGCAGATAAGATATTTAACTACATGTACATATTCAGTTATGATTTGTAATTAAGGTTTAATTCGTACAACTTATACGATTTGTCACATGTAAAAAGGAGTTGTTGGTTTAATTTTGGGGTAAAGGTTTGCACTTTCTTTAGCATTTAGAGGTTCTTCTTACAAAATTTCAAGGGTGATTAAAAATAAAACGAGGTCACCAATTTTTTACGATTTATGCTACTTGTTTATTAGTGATCAAAACAATTTAACTAAATTTAGAAATCAATTTCGGGAAATCAAATGAAGTGCATCTACTAATAAACAAATAACGATAGTATAAATCGTAAAAAATTGGCAAACTTTGTAGTCAAGATTATTATTCATTTTATTTTTAACCACCCTTAAAATTTTGTGAAAAGAATCTTCTAATGCAAACTTTTGCCCAAGATTGAATGATTTTTTTTTTTTATTTATTAAATAAGAGCGGAAGGCATATTTTTCGTTATATAAAATTTAGGTGTACGATCACCTGATTTATAATAAACGTATACGTATTAAATGATAACATAACGGACGAATCAAGAATTATTATTATTATTATTATTAGAATAAAAAGCGGCAAAACGGCAAAACTATGAAATTTATTTGGACAAATTCTAGGAAAATCATATGTCCCGCAAATTGATTTCCTAGCAAAAATCCTATGTGACATTTAATTGACTTTGGCAATCAAATTCATATATAAAGAAGTATCTATTATGTATAATTTGATTGATTAGTAAGTATTTATAAATGACTGCCTTCTTGATGTATTGCCGTAGCTTATATGAAATTGGTTGTTAACAATTTTACGAAAAGAAATATGCAGCACGTCAGTGCAAAGTTTGAAACCGGTTTTTTTTTCACGTAAAAACAAGTACCGTAAACCCGATTTTAACATATCGATATTGAAATAAAACAGGTTCCAAACTCTAATCGGAACAATTGACGCACGAGACATAATATGCACTAGTAGCCGAGTATTACGTTGGCGTGAAATTAGATACGCGTGGCATCAGTTGATGGTCTCCCGCCTGCACAAATGTGGCAGGCTGTCTATAAGAAGTTTTCGCAGTTACTACACAAATGAGCTTGGATTCTACCGAGAGAGGTAAAGGTACAGTCTTTAATATCGCGGCCAAAAAGTGTTAATTCATAGACAAAGAGTACGTTCCCACGCTCTATGCCATTCTATTATCATTATATCTTGTTCACTGCTAGTAGTTCTGAGAGCAGTAGTTAATTATTTATCTATTCCCGCGGTTTCTTTGTATGGATCTCACCGGAGAAATCCAGTTTATCAGTTTATTCATGTGTATTCATATATGCGAAGCTTATGTTAATATATAATAATTATCTATTAACGTTAAGAATAAATGTATTTGTAACAACCTGTAATGTAACAACTTTAATATTTTTATTAGTTTAGGGTTAGGTGTTATAAATAATATATTTAATAAGGTTGTTGTTATATTTTAAGAAAAATTTTAATTTAATTTATATACGTATTAAAATTACTACGTATAGCGAAAATTATTTATAACGTGTTATATAACACCTGTAACAGCCAATCAAAATTTGTTAAATTGTTACGCGTAACGAGTTGTTACAAATAAAATTAATTATAAAAATATATATATAAGATTTTAGTATTCTTGCAATTCAGAACGGTAAATATCGCACGTACTTATGCATGCACTAGAGTGTCTCGTTAGTCTAATTACATAGTTCAGGTTAGAGTTCCAATTTATTAAGCGTTTATTCGGATAATTATCAGATCCATTATCTGAAGTATCTGATTTGAATTTATCTGGATATCCGTTTACTATTGATATCAATATCCGGACAATTCAGATACGGATAAATGAAAGACAGATTTAGCTGGATTGGAACTCTAGCGCTTAGTGGTGCGATCCGTTGATCGACAATCTGGATAACTATTCAAAATCCGTATTTTTGTGTAATCCGTATCATCCGAATAATTAACTGATCGAATTGCAGTTATTTGTCAAAACTATAGTTAACTGTTAGTTATTTGTTAAAATTATAGTTAACTGTAATTAACTGTTCAAACTGTAGTTAACTATAGTTAACTGTAATTAACTATGCAAACTATAAAGATTGTCAACTATTTTTTTTTTTTTTTTTTTTTTTTTTTTTTATACAACGAGGTTTATCCTCTAACTCTTTATTATTATCAAATAAA